TAAAAGAACTTGTTCATATCTATTTCTAATAACTATGATACATGTTGCTTTTATACAAATCCAAGATATAATTTCTAGGCTATACGAATTCATGTTCACTATATCACTTAAATTCTATTGATAAAATATTTGTTCGCTTGTTCGTTTACTCGTTTGTTTAGTTATTTGTTCATTCACTCATTCACTTGTTTGCTCGCTTGTTTGCTCACTTTACGTGATTTGATCTTTATCCAATAATATATATAACCCAATAATAAAATATTATAATGAAAGGTCATTATACAACAGCATTATTCCTGATTCTAAAATGAATAGAATCTATTATCATATTAAAAACAAAAATATTAATCACAATTATATATTTCATTTTTTTGTTCTATTTTCAATTTCTCTTATAGTCTCTTATACTAAATAAAATTTTCCTTTATATTGTCACTGATTCAAAATCGACTATAATTTCTTAAATTTTATAAATACCTTTGAGTATTTTGAAAGCTCTATCAAAATAGTAACAATGTATTTATCATATAAAAAATAATAAATTTTCTTTTCATTCCTACATTTACAATTACTTTCAAGCTGGTACTGATAATTTGATTTCAATCTATTTGATCATATTGATTTCATACTTTTTGAATAACTTTAATTCAATCTTCAAAAATAATATCAGGAATCTTTTCAGGCTCATTCATCTTCTGAGCAAAAGCAATATATAAAATTAATACTGGATAGAATTTTCAGCACACTGCAAAAATATGCTTACATGCAATTTCATGAAATTTGAAGTCTGAACAAGTATATTGAAAATGAATTGATTTAATATTATTACTTTTTTGTATATATTTTTTTATATTAATTTCATAACTATTGATTAATGATTTCACAAGATAATGTCAATCACCAGGCATAATAAAGATATTTGTATTCAAGTTAGAACTAGCAAGTTCTTAATACTATTGCTCTTTTTACCATAATTTTATTTTTTTAATCATTAAATGAATAACTTCACACTCAAATTCTGTATTTTTTAAAGCAGCTTATAAGATTCAAATCAAAGTATTAATTTAATGATTATGTTTAGCTTCTAAATATGTATATTTAAACTTTTTGTATTAAGACTCAATAAAATTTGTTATATTCATTTCTTGATGCTTATATAATTAATAAATATTAATTTATTTTTTACACTTCTTTGATATTCTCTTTTAATATATTTAATTTATTCTATTTTATTAAAAGCTATTCACTGAGTAAAATACTCAACAAATTTATTTTGTACTTGAAAAACATTCCAAATTCATATTATAATATCAAGTTCATTCAGTATCATTTTTTGTGCTACTTGTTTTTTTAATTATTTGAGAGTATCATTGTCAAGATTTTTTTCTTGAGTTTTGAAATAGTTACTGTTCACTTTAATTTTGTTCTTGTTTTTTTGCCAGATATTTTTTACATGTTATTGACAAAATAAGATTCTGATATTAGGAAATATTGCATTAATAGCATTTTGTTGTGTATCATTATAATTAATAAGAAAGATATGAAACTTTCATTCTTGATTCTGATTTTTTATAACTTCAAGCCAAAAAATTAATATTTCTCATATTTTTTTCTCTGATATTAAATATACTATAAACACATCTTGTTCATTTTCATTATTTCGTACCAATAAAATAAAGAGATTCATTTTGTATAATGATATTCTATATGTTTTATCCAGATATATTGTTTGTACACTTTTTGATTTTAATATCTTTTTTTGAAACTCAGTCTGAAATTTGTATATATAACCTAAAAATGATCTCCAAATCAAGTTGCTGTAGATATAAGATTCATCTTGTTATGATAAAATAATCTATTTTTTAATAGATGTATCCTCATTATAATTTTTTTTGTTATCTAAAAAAATCATGTTTTTCATTTTCTCATGAACAACATTATACATATCAATATAAAAAAGATATGTATTATTATCATTTTACCTTTCATTACCTTTCAATATGCATTTATTATTAAAAATATAATAATATTCTTTCTATTATTTTTTATTTTCTTTTTTATATTTTATAATTTTCTTTTATTATTATCCAATAGTAATAATTCATATTTTTTATCCAATTAATTTTTATTTATATCACATCATTTTTATCTAAATTTTATTATTATTTATTTAATCAATAGTAATTTTATATTAATTTATATTTTAAATCTTATTGGTACTTTATTTTTATCTCTTATTACATTAATTTAATTAGTAACATATAGATTTTACACAAATCTTTTTTTAATATTATACAATAATTATCATATCTCAACATGTTATAGATCTATACTTTTATTAATTTCACTTTGTAATCTATATATGTAAATAACATATAGATCAGTATAACTCAAATTCACTATATATATAATATAAGAATTAATTTAAGATGATTATATCCTGGTTTTAATTTTTGTTTTGTCTTGTTCCTTTTTATTTGCTTTAATTTTTGTTTTGTTTGTTTATTTTCTTGTTTTCTTATTATTTTTCTATTGTTTTTCTCTTATTTTCTTCTTGTTTTTGTCTTAGTCTAGTCTTAAATTATCATCATATTGTCTTTGTCTTTTATAACTACACTTTTAACTTTAATTTATATCATATATTTAATTTTAATATCACTTTATATTCACTTAAATACATTCAATATTCACTTTAAATCTAAATTTTTGTTAAATTATTATCAACTATTATCAATCATATTATTCTTATTTAAAATCTGCCGTAAACATAATTACTATTAGTTATTTTTATGCGTAAGAACTAAAAATGATAGCAATATTATTTATAATAAATTATATTTAATTAAATTTTTAAAAATAGAAATAAATATATAAGTAATATATATTTTAGCTTAGAATTATTATTTTTATATTATTTAATTAAAAGTCTGGTTCGAGTTCAGTTTGAGTTCAAGTAAATATTTGTTGATATTCTAAGTAAAGTTGTAAATTATAATATGAGCTACAAATTAATATAAGATAATTAATATTTAGGATGAATATTTAAGAAGTTATATAAATTTAAAAAATAATTTTAATTATTATAATTTTAATTTACTTTAATTTTAGTATAATAAACATTTATTTTGCTATAGTAATCATAAATTATAATTATAAATAAAGTTGTAACAAAAATAAAAATTACAAATTGATATAAGATAATTATCATTAATAATAATTATTCAGAGAGTTACATAGTATTTATGATCAAATTTAATAAAAATAAAAATAAAAATACTTTAGTTATCACTATATAAATATTTAATCCTTACTAAATACTATAAATTGTGCTTATAAGTAAAGTTGTAGCTTATATTTAGAACTACAAATTAATATATAATACTATATATCGATCTTTAATTGAACTCGAACCAGATTCAAATCATATAATAGTTCGATTCATATTCAGTTCAAACTTTGAATCTTTCTTGAACTCAAGTCAAAGTCTGATTTGAGTTCAGATCAAATTTTGAACTGAACTCGAATCCAGGCAAAAGTTCAGTTCGATTCAGTTCATAGGAATACTAGTTATAATTTTACTAATAAATATTTTTTATTTTATATTAAAATAAAAATAAATCATAATACTATTAATAATTTTATTTCTTTATAATTATTCCATTTTATTTTCTTATTTATATATAAATATATTAAAAAATTCTTTTATAATCAATTTTTTTATTATTATATTTATTTATAATTATATATTTCTACAATAAATTCAATTTCTTTATAATAAAAATTTTATTTTTATTAGTAAATATTTTTTGTTTTTATATTTTTATATTAAAATAAAGCTAAAAATATGTATTTTTTTTAAATTTAATTTCAGAAATATTTCAGATTGTAAAGTTGATTATATAAACTTTTTATAATTAAAAATTCAAATTATTAAATTTTAATTATAAAAAGTTTGTATAATTAACTTTATAATTCAAAATATTTCTGAAATTAAATTTAAAAATCTATAAAAAATATGTTAAAATACAGATTCTTAGTTTTATTTTGATACAAAAACAAAAAAATATTTACTAATAAAACTAAAAATTTCATTATAGAAAAACTTTCAATTTTATTATGAATTTCTGGTAATTTATTGTAGAGATGTGTAGTTATACTTTTTATAGTCACTTCAAGAATGATAAATATTACGGAATTTGACTGTATTATCGAAAAGGAACTTGAAGATATATCTTTTTTTTAGATTTGATATTCGGAATTTGAAAAAGGAATGTGAATTGAAAAGTTTATTTTTTTATAATAATAAATTTCAAAATGCACTTTCATGCTTCTGTCATGAATCTACAATTTGAAAATATTTTTCATTTCTTGATATATGAAATACATAAAAAGAAATTTAATTTGTGTAGTTCCAAAAACCAACAGATTAAAAAAAGTATAAAAAATAAAATTCATTTGATTGATTCGGTTGCGATTGTTTTTGAGAAGTATACAGGATCATGATTTTTATAGTGAAAGCGAAATAACAATAACAAATAATAATGATTGATTTTTTTTTGATTATTCCTCGTGAGTTAGGTTACATATGTAGATTACATACTTATTTTTAAACAAGATAAATATGCTAAAATATAAATCCTAAAGAAATAGTCGTGACAGTTATGATGAATGAAAATGTGTATGCGTGAAAAATGAAATTAAAGGATAGAATTGTTGTGTATATAAGAGGATGTAAAAATTTTAGTACTAGAAATTTTTCTTTCTGTTTCAAAACAAGAACAAAATGATAGTAATAACAAATAATAACAAAATAATTGAAAATGACGAAGAAAAAAATATTTCATAAATAATTTAAATAAAATAAATAAATAAATTAACTAACTAAATAAATAAATATTTAAAAGATGATTATTATAAATATTATTATGTTATTATTAAGGATTGATTTAAAATTATATATTTTGTGACAGGTCTCAGCAAGCAACTTTGTGTATACTATTTTACATGACCACACAACAGCACCCTCTATTATCATCTTCGGGAGGGAACTCCCCATTGTTGTTAAGTCCGTTTTGTTGACCTCGCCCGCCATACTGTTGCTCTTTGTTGTATTTTCGGATCTCGCGTACGAGATTGTAGAATGCTTCGTCGACATTGATGCGTTGTTTTGCTGATGTTTCGATGAAGCGGCAGACGAAGTGTTTTGCTAGTTCTCGTCCCTCTGTTTTTAATTTTTCATCGCATCAATATAAAAATGTTTATCGTTCAAAATATTCATAAAAGCAAAAGAATCCACGTACCATGCCCAGCAACTTGCCGCTCACTGTCCAGATCACATTTATTCGCCACAACAATAATCGGGAAATAATCTTTATCCTTTACTCGAAGAATCTGTTGATGAAAAGTCGAGATTTCCTCAAATGAATTACGAGATGTGATAGAGTAGACAAGTAGGAATCCTTCGCCTGTGCGCATATATTGTTCTCGCATTGCACTTTATTTTTTTGTGATGATAATCAAGACGAGGAAATAGAAATTTGATTAATCATTTTGTCTTTGAAGCAATCATATTCATAAACTCTTTTGGTTTTTTAAATAATAGTAATATTATTAATATCAAGATGCATATCTTAAAGATTAATCTATTATTGAAAACGGGATTGAGTAAGTTATATATATATTCGCTGGCCAAATGGACAAATTGAACAAATTAAAAAAATTCTTTAGAAAATTGAATCAAAAAAAAATTTTTGTCAAAAATTTTCAAATATATTATTTATAATTATAATATATATATTTTATTTGGGATTTGGCCAGCAAGTATATGGGTAAGTACCTGTATTCTTCTTGTCCTGCTGTATCCAAAACATCTAATAATGCGACTTCTTCATCGATGACACATTGTTTACGATAAGAATCTAAAATAGATATGGCAATTAGTATTTTTGGACTAAAATCCGCGCATTTATTCAGTAAATGCGTATATGCAATAATGAAATTTACCCTCGATAGTAGGGTCGTATTCATCAACGAAATGCGACTGGATAAATTGTATAGTGAGTGCGGATTTACCAACACCTTTCAAAAGAATGTTATTATATTAGTATTTAATTTGAAATGAATAGATGATGAGTTTGAGAGGACTTTTAAGACCCCAAAACACACACATCAATAGTAGAACTTTACTCAACAAACACTTCAACCCCAATCCCAATTTCTAAAAAAAGGTAAAGATGACGTACCACCACCACCGACTACAACTAACTTGTACTCTCGTAGGAATTGTGCGGCTTTCGACATGTTTTTTGTAATATAATATTAATTTGATATGTACGTTATTAAAAAAAATTATAAACAAATTTTGAATTTTCTTCTCCTTCAAGAATTTTTGCTAGAAAAATAATCGTGAAGGTGAATTATATAAATATATTTTAGAGACAGAAAAGAAGTGGAACTAATAGTAGGTATTTCGAATAATAAATATAACTAATAATAACAACAACAACAATAATAAGGCAGGTGTAGTTGTCGGTTTTTTTTTTTGGATGCACCGACACGCGTGCAATAGTATAATATTAGATGTAGTATATGGCGGTTAGTAGTAGCGGAGGAAGAGAAAGAAAGGTGAAAAAGGGAGATGGTAAGTGGGTAAGTAGATAATATAGTGGGGAAAAAGTATAGTATATTTTATTATTCTATGCTATTATTACACATAATACAAAGGAAAAACCAATGGTGTAACATTTATATCTATATTTTGTATATATTGGGTATAAAAGAAAAAACTGTTGCACGACTTTATATACGGCCGGAACGGTTGCTCGTTCTTTGCTTTATTGTTATTATTATTATTATTCGATTGATTAGTTTTATTAGTATAGTATAGTATAACGATAGTATCGGTATTATACATATCCTCCAAAAATGGAAAAAAATTATTAATTCATCGCGTATAGAACATGTGTCAATTAACAAACAAAAGCTAGAAAATCAATCTTATCAAGGCTAAAACATTTTAGCATCTGCATAAGTTAATAATTTAAAAAGTTCGATAAATGTCTTGGTTGATTTCTTCGCGTTACGTTTCAGCACACTTACTGCGTCCAGCACCACCATTAGCTATATTACATCTTAATAGTAATATCTTTTCTCGATGCTATACGAGTAAGTCCTAAACTCTTTACATTTCAAATAAAAGAAATTAAATAATAACGATAAATTTTCAGCTAAAAGGTATACAAGAGAACATGAATGGGTTGGTGTGGAAGACAGTTTAGCCACAGTCGGAATAACAGACCACGCACAAATTTCTCTAGGTGAAGTGGTGTACGTTGAAACTCCAGCGTTAGATAGAAAGGTCAAAAAGCAAGGTTAGATTAAGATTATTTTACTTGATCAATTTTGTAATGTTTTCTCTGTTGATCAAGTTATTGTAATTAGAATCCATTGGAGCCATAGAGAGTGTTAAAGCTGCCAGTGACGTTTACGCGCCTGTAAGTGGAGATGTTGTTTTAGTGAACGAGAAATTAGGTGACTATCCGGCGTTGATCAATAAGAGTCCAGAAAATGAGGGTGACTTTTCTTCTTCTTCTTCTTCTTATTAATGAATCTTGGTTTTGGTTTGGTTTAAGTCAAGCTAATAACTGTTTTATTTTATAACGTTAAGGATGGTTATGTAAAATCAAAATGTCAGATCCATCCGAAATAGATGGTTTATTAGACGCAGAAGCATATGAAGAATTCATTGCAGCGGAAAAATAAATGATCATTGTAGAATCAAATTTATATCTAATGATGCATACCGGAAAGAAGTAGTGAGAGAAATATCGTAAGTGTATATTGTTTGTTGGTTTAACTAGGAAATTATCAGTAGCTTATCTCACAGTGAATAAAGCTAATTCATGTTTGCTAGTTCATTGATCGATCGTTAGTTTGTTTGTTTGTTTGTTTGTCTGTCTGTCTGTCTGTCTGCGAAAGCAATAGAAACATTACTTAAAACCAAGGATCATCAATTAATTAGCAATATTACTGACTACTATATATGGTGTCTGGACTTCGAATAGTTACTAACCAATTCGGACCTGTGTGTGAGCAATAGACCAGATGATAGAACGGAGACCAAATCGTTAATGAAAACCTAGTTTGCAAAATCAGACCAGTTGTTTTTTTTTATTTTTGACAGATTGTAAGATAATTTTTTACGCATCAATTATCGTTATGTAATATCATCCTGAACCAAAATCACACTATGTTCAAAGATCTGAGATGTGAGCTGACAGAAAAAAATTAACGAAGCATAACATAACTTTCTTCATGACTAAAGATTCTTCACACCAATCAAAATTCTCCTAATTTCTTTACAGGTTAGTTACTGAGATTTTTATGGAATTTTTTTATTATATGTGAAAACAAGTGTTATTAGCTTGTAATTAATATTTCAAACTATATGAAGAATGTTAGATTTTCATGTTATTATTAGGAAAGTGATTAAGTCATGTGATTAATTTAGTATCATACATAATTTTGAACTTGCAAAATTATTAATTAATTACAAAAATATTAGCAATTCAAGTTATAATATATTTTTCTTTTGAAAGTTCTTATTTATTAGCATTTTAAAAAAGATAAGCATTATTAATATAAATATAAAAAGAAAGAATTATATAAAAGAATATTCAAATTATATTTGTTATGAGTTAAAATAAAATTTATGTTGATTTAAAATTAACTTAAGTTGATTAAAATATTGATCAAAGTTAAGTTACTTTAATTTTATAATGCAAATTAAATTCCAAATTCTATTCTAACTTACAATATATATTAGTTTACAAAAAAATTTTCTTTATAAAAAAATTTTTTTGTACAAAAAATTATAAATAATATGTTTGATAATAATATTAGTTCAATTTTAACTTCTATTTTACAAAAGAAACAATTTATCATAAGATTCAACTTCTTTCTATCATTAATAATGAGAAAAAATAAAATGACTTGACTATTTGTGTATTTTACCAAAAATATCAATAAATTAGCTGGAATAAATAAATCTTTTAGATTCAGTAACACAAATAATAATCTTAAGTTTAAATATTTGAAAGAGTTAATAACTGATATATAAAAATTAAATATAAAATAATATGTTAATATTATTATATATTAACTTAATCTTAGAATTCTTTTCTTATTAAATTTACTTGAAAAATATATTTACAATAATCTAATATGTGAGTTATAATAAAATTAGTTAATACAAGTAAATATAATCTGATTTAACTCTTTATTCTAATAATTATTCATCAATTTTAATAAAGAATTTCACATATAGCTTTAAACAAATAGTATATATTATTATAAAGTATTATAATTTTAAATAACTCTAATAATATGAATATAATATTTTTTAATTACTTTTCAGTCTTTTTAAAAATTATAAAGAAAAATTCAAAACAAATAAGTTTACTAATTCAAATTAAAAAGAAAAATTATAAATCTAAATTGTTAAATAAGATTATTTAAAACTAGTCACTTTATCTTTTATTAATTTTATATTTTGCATACTTTAAACTTTATAATACATGCTAAAATTTACAAAAATATTATTTTTGAATTAGTTGATCATGAGTACTTTTTTAATAAAATTAATTTTTATTTTAATAATTTTTTATTATTATTACTATATATATATAATAATTTAATTTTACAAGTAAAAACAGAAATAAAATTTTAAAATTGATTCAAAAATATAATATATTATTTAAATTTAAGTTGAAATAGTTAATATATAATTATTCAAATATATTTTATATTTATTTTATACTCATATTCTTATTAATTTAACATTATTGATTATTTACTATTATTATTTATATTATTTTTATTTAAAATTTGTTGTAAATATAATTATTATTAATTATTTTAAAATATTCTTATATATAAGCATCAAAAATAATAACAATATATTATTATATATCAATTTGTAACTTTATAATTTTAATTATAAGTACAAATTATATTATTTAGTAAAAATTAAAAGTTATTTAGAGATTACTAAAGTATTTTCATTTTTACAATTATTAAATTTTATTATAAATTTTATATAACTCTTTGAATATTAAATATTAATAGTAATTATCTTATACTAAATTATAACTCTTATCTTTAACTATAATTTTACTTATAATTATAGTTTATAATTGCTATATAAATATAAATATTTATTATAATATAATTAAAATTATAATAATTAAAAATATTTTTTAAATTTAAATAACTTTTTGAATATTCATTTTTAATATCAACTATTTTATATTAATTTATAGTTCTGACTATAATCTATAGTATAAAATATTTATTTTAGTAATATTATATTAACTAATATAATTTAAGAAGGAGATATAATACAAGAAATTGTTTTAATCAAATAATAACTTTTTGATTAAGTTATAATTTGACTAAATTTTTTTTTATTTCTCAAGTTATAATTCTTAGAATTTATCTAATTATACTAATAGTATTTAATCACCATATAAAAGATTAGAAATAATAATTTTTTTGATTGGATAATATTATAATCAATGAATAATATTAGATAAATTGTATAATTTCATATAATTAAAAATTTTTAATTTTTTAGATATATATTAAAAGATATTATTACTTATTCTTAAGTTTTAACATGTTAAGTTAAAGTTTAATTATAATTTGTATTTATATATTTTTTATAAATATTAATATAATATTTAAAAACAAGAAAAAAATTTAAATATATTAATTAAAAATATAATTTTAATTTTATTAAGAAAAATAAATATATATAAATAATTATAAAAATTTATGATTAACTAAAATATATTTATTAAAATAAATAGATAAATAAAACAATATATAAATAAAAAATAGATAATAATAAAATATGTTAATAATATAAAAAAGTAAACAAATAAAAAAATAAAAAAATAAATAAGTAAAAAAATAAAAAAATAAAAAAATGTTTATATATATAATAATTAATAATATAATAAATAATTAAGAAATATTCTAAATTCTTTGCATAATTTTTATAATTTTATAATTTATTATAAATTATAAAATTAATAAAATTAATGAATTTAATGAGTTTTATATTAAAAATATAATAATATATATTTTTATAAGTATAATAATATTTTATATATAATATATAAAATTTAAAGTCATTAAATATTTGAATTTTGTAAATTATATAAAATTTTTTATTAAGAAGTAAATACAAAATTTAATCTATAAATATGTTTAAAAAAATCTATTCTATCATATTCACAGATTAAATTTTGTATTTACTTCTTAGTAAAGAAATTTATATATTTTATAAAATATAAATATTTGATAACTTTAGATTTAATGTACTATATTATTTATTAATTATATAATTAAGTTTTTAATAAGTTAATTATTATTAAATTTCTCTATAATTATATTTGTTTATAGTTATATTTTTTATAGTTATTTTATTTTGTATATAAATATAATAAAAAAATTTCATTTTATAATTATATTTTTTATAATTATTTTCAATAATAATAAAATTAAAAACTTTTATATAAAGAGAAAAATCTGCATTTTACTATATTTAATTAATAAATTTTGACGTCATTGCATTATTTCTGATTGCTATTATATATAATAATTGTTATAATTAAATTAATTTTTTGAATAATTAAGAAACTAATTATAATTTATTTAGTAAAACTTTATACCGTAAAGCGCTCTGTATAGTATCCCCCTTTGTATAAAATTTAAACCTCAATTTAACCTCAAGACTGTTAAACCAATAACTAAATTTCTTAAAAAATCGCATAGTGAAATCTAATTTAATTATTTACATAAAAAATAATTGAATTTACTAAAAAAAAATTGAACCAAATTGTAGTTCAAATTTTTACAAGGGGGGATATTATAAAGAGCGCTTTACGGTAATTTTTTTAAGTTATATAATTAATCAATTTTCTAAATATTATAATATTTTATTAAGCATTTTATTCAATGTTGAAAATTCAATGTTCTTACAAGAATATATTTAATAGATTTTATTTTATATATTAGTTTTATTATAAATTATACTTTTAAAAACAAAAAAAAAGATTTTTTAGTTTTTTATTAGAATCTTTAGCCAAAAAAATATATTTTAAAAAATAGCAATTATTTTTATTATTATTATCATTATTGATATATTCTAATTTATTATTACATTTTAAATTAAAATCTTTTTTGAACTTTAATCTTTTGATTGATAAAATCAATTGAATCAACATAGACCCTTTAGAATCACCTTTATATTATAAATAAATTGCAGGTTCTGTCTAATTTGTTACAAGTAAAAATTCTATTAGATCTATCTGTAACATTATATCTGAATGTTATCAGAATAAGGTCGATATTCATTGATATTATCATTTACAATCGGCTAAAATTATAAAAATCGAATAACATAGCGCTGCCTACACCGGCCTTATTCAAAAACCTTCCTTGAACTTGAATAGTACTCCCCAAGATACAGAATGACGAGAGCAATAGATCCATAGAAAAAACCAAACACTATTTATAAAGATTAGGCCGCAAATTGCTTATCAGCAAAATGGGGGATACTATCTCAAGGGGGTACTATTGGCAGCACTGTAAGGTCAATCAATAACGCAATTTGCAGATGTCGATTGACATTGCCATCCTCACTTTGTGATCGATCGATTTTGTAATCTGCGAAAAATCTACTGATATAGATAATTATACACTGTTTTGGCGAGTGTCTTATAACGAGAGTCAGTTGTATATACAGTTTATTTGTTACATACATGAATTACGTCGTACTACTATTATTATTATTATTGTCATTATCATTATTCGTATTAGCTATTTATTATTATTATTATTATTATTATTATTATTATTATTATTATTATTATTATTATTATAATAATAATTATTATTATTATTATTAATTATTACTATTATTATTATAATATTTATCGACGATGAACTTTCTTAGATCGTCGACCACTTCGCGTAATATACACATTTGACAGACTCTGGAAAGACGCTGCGGAATCAGAGTCTGTTGCACTTTCTGGTGGTGGTGTTGTTTTCAAGACATTATCATCATTATCACTATCAACATTATCATCGTTATCAACATTATCATCGTTATCATTATCATCATCTTTTTCTTCCTCCTCATCATCTTCAACCACAATTTCAGGACTTTTATGCTTATTTCTCGTCGTCGCTGTCTTTTTAGTAGTCGTAGGTGGCGAAGATTGTTTTCTTAGTTTTTTACGCTGTGGAGGATGAGCTGCGCCACCGTTGCTAGTTAATGCTCCTACAAACTCATCTTCGTCTACGTCTACAGATGACGATGTACGTTTTTTGCTGTTCTTAGGGGTTTCTTTTGAATTACTAGCAGAAGCAGCAGTCTTTTTACTATACTTATTGATTCGTCTATGTAATAGTTTGGGAGACGCAAAAGAGGCAGCATCGTCGTCGTCGTCATTTTTGTCATCGTCATTATCGTCGTCTTTATCTTGACTTTCTCTAATGTTTGCATTCTCATCGTTGTTTTTTGTTTTATTATTTTTCTTTGTCGTTGCTGGCTTACGTTTTCGTCGCGCGCCACTGCTAATACCAGCTGCTGTTGCAGACCTCTTGCTAGACTCCTCATTGATAACTTATATAAATAATTTTACAGCCAGAGTTTTGATTTTAAAATTATTTCTTCGAGTTTTTCTTCAAGGATAATTTCAAAAGAAATAAGAAATAATTACCAGGACTCCTGACACCAAACTTGACCAGTATCTTGTGAATTTTCTGCACATATCCATAGTACGCCTCCCAATCTTTATCGTGTTCAGCAGGTACTTTGACTAAGTTTGCTTCTAAGCTAGTTTTAAGTTTTGCATCACTATTATAAAGAATAAAAACGAGACGGTACCAATAAAGATACGTCAACAACAATATATAATTATTTTTACACAATTGAAAAATATAAAAATCAATAGCAAAAAAAGAACTCACATAGTCAACGCATCATTAATACTAACACCACCCAACAACGCCGTCAACGGTTTAAAGAATTTTATCCAATACTTCAACATCTTTAGATTTTTCATCCCGTGCTCAAAGCCGGCCATATTCTCGATCGCATGTTCGAATAAACGCATGTGCATCTCGACAATGTGGTCGGAATCTTTTCGCGATTGCACGGTCGAGGTTTCACGTAGGTGTAGAGTATTTGCAAAGATGCGTGCGAGCGCCGATGCGGATTCCATTATTGTGGTTTGTAATGATTCGCTGGTGTCGTTGGGTTCTTGGTCAACTATATGTTCGTACATTTCGAATATCTATTACAGTATAGACATAATTGGATATTCCAGTTTAGAATCGAAAATAATAATCTACAATCTTTTGTGCATTAAAATAATAAACGTTACCTTTAGCAAAGAATCCGAGCATATTTCATAAAAAGCTTGTGGTTCTGTTTCGTATTTCCAATCTTTAAACTCTTGAATCACCTTTTTAATAAGGTCATCCACGTCGCTACCGAATTTCCCATACTGCGCAATAACAGTCGCCGAAAATTTAATATCAAAGATTCCGCCACGTGCACCACGTAATAGTGCACCGATGATGTCGAGAAATTCGTGTTTCTGATATGCGGTGAGGTAATTATCTGTATTTTTCACTATAAAATTATAAGGCATATAATTAAATTAATAATAATAAATTTTTGTAAATTCTTGGATATCGAACTTTATAATATTAACAAACAATACATACACCTCTTTGAGTTTTCCTCATCTTCCTCATTATTATTATTTTCCTCCTCATTGTCGTTTTCATCACGCTCATTATGAAGTTTACTCCGCACTTGTTTAATCGACTCAACGATTTCTTGTTTATGTTTTATGATTTCGTTTTCGACGAATGCCACAAGTGTCTCTTGCGTCGAATTCGGGCACGAAAGTCTCAGTTTCGCAATGTTGGGGCAATTTGGTAGATAGAAGAAATCACACGCGAATAGCCAATATATGTTTCCTAATGTTTTATACGCCTGTGAAAATTACAAAAATTCAATGATTATTTTTTATTGTTATTTTTGTCACTAGGCAATCGTGATTCATAATATGGTATACTAGTAATAATTCTAATAACAAAGAAAAGAAATAACTAACCATTTTTCGAGCACTATTCACAGCATCTCCAGAAGTTACTAATCCTTCCAATATATTCACAACTTTATCTCGACGCGTCAAGAAATCATCCACGACTTGTGCTTGCGCATCCTGAATTTCGTCTTCATTCAGTGTTAGAGTGTTAACTTTCCACATTATATAAAACCAAATAAAGTTTATTGCGGAAATAATAATCTGTCCACACACAAATTAATAAATCAAAATAAAAAATTTATCACACAGCATTTCTAATAAACAATTAACGAACAAGTTAACAAGACAACTAAAAAACCATACCTTCTCATCACTTTTTTTATTTGGAAGCATGCCACGCTGCGCAACTGCCGAAATACAATCAAACACGTCGGTGCCATTCTCGTCTTTTTCTTCTACTGCCGGAACAATATTAATAAAGGATATTAGTTGTTCCATACGATTTAAACTGGCGTTTATTGAGTGGACTTGGTCGCTGCTAAGAGGGCGGAACGATAATTCCTATTTTCAAAAAAAAACCGGAAATTTTTGTTCTTTCATAAGGATGTTTTGAAGAAATAATATAAAAATAATTATAACAATGGCAAATAAATATTGTTATAAATACTAGAAATATTTTATAATGATTACATTATTTCGATCTTTTTAGATTATTTAAAAAATTATATTTATCAAACTTATATACCTTAGCGTCATACTCTTGTTTAAAAGCCTGTACAACTTCTTCCTGCAATTCACCGAGCTTTGTTTCTGTTATTGACGCCAGAATCTTAGTATTTGCCATATGACGAAAAGTTTCAGCAGCATTTGCAAGAACCGACGGTTGAGTGTGTTTGAGAAACAGCTCTTTCACATCATCTACTAGGGTTTCATATGCCTAAAAAGAGAAAGATGAACACTTTCATAAGACGAGCAACTGAAAGCACAACTAAAAATAGACGTGTGTGCAAGAAAATTACCTTGGACATACGAAGATCTTGATACACATCCAATTTCATCAACGGTGGTATTTGCAATACTTCGGCTATCCGGCCAGCATCAGGTGCGTATTTTGTTAATAGTCGCGGCAAAACTTTTACCATCGTTCTTGCAATTTCAGCACTTATTTCGTCTTGGCGTACCTCAACCTATACAATATTTTATTATTAGTAACCTGAATGCATATGAGAGATCCATGCATAATAACGAATAGAGTACTGCACATTTTGTAAAGCATATGTCTTTTTTTAAATTGACAAAAAGCAAACTTACGTCTTTCTTATCTTTTGCTTTCAAAGGCTCTTCAAGACTCAAATTTATCGAAGCAATAAGAACCTCAACAAGCACAGTCTCTTCCTGTTCATTCAATCTATAACAGTCCTCGACAATATTTGCCGGATCACTAGTGGTTGTGGAAGAGGAGGATGGTGCAACTGTGCTCCCCGAAGACGTAAGATTATTACTGGTCAATGAGTGGTCTTTTGTGAGATAATCGGCGAGAGTTTTCCAGTCTTTGAGTGCTTGTAACTCGTTAAACAGATCTTGAATTGCTAAAATGACACGACTCTTTTTTCCGCCGCCGATTTTTTGTGCTATCTCGATATCTTCATCACTCTCTTCAGACTCTTCGATGTCCATGATCAACATCGTTTCGTCGTCGTTGTTGTTTTCGGTAGAGTTTGTGGCTCTTTTAATGGCTTTGCTGGACTTTACCAGAAACTCAGCCAAACACTTAAACGTAATCCAATCTTTTCTGATATTTGTAATACCAGAACTGCCATTTATTCCATTTAACGCCGCCGTCTTCGCACTTCTGTTTCTACCTTTACTATTACTATTACTATTACTATTATTACTACTATTACTTGATAAAAAAACCTCCACTTCCTCCACCTTCTTTTGAATATATTCTATATTCAAAATATCTCGCACAAAAGGTGTCACAGCTTTTCTCACTTTCGGATTATCGCTATAGATCAACAACGAAATCTGATCCTCGTACCCATCCGAATCCTCTAATAGTTCAGCTTGCGAAATCTGTGCCAGGAGATTAATGCTCGAGATGCGCACGGTAATGTCAGATTCCATTAATCCCATTTCGAGGATTCGGCTTTTGAAGCGTTCGGTGAAGTGACGAAGAGAAGTTTTGAATGTTTCTTTGGCGTAGAGGCGGGAGAGTGATTTTACCGATTCGATGCGTACTAATGGTGACTATTGTCAAAATTTTTGTTTTTTTATTTATTAAATTAATTTTGTGTTTATGATTAAACGGGGACTAGTCGTATTGATAACGTCAAACTCACTTTGTCGGATAATTGCCATCCTATGTATCGTAGATATGTGTCATCTAAAAAGAGCTCAGGGTACTTTGAAATCCACAGACCTAGCTCCTTTATACATTCTGCTCTAATCAACGCCTCGACATCACGATATCGATGAACAAACACACTATAACCAATAACAAAAAGAATTCATTTTGAACTTCAAAAAAAATATCAAACATATAAAATCTAAATATACTCTCACCAATCAAAAAATTCGTTAAGATAAGAATGCAAATGTTCCTTTTTATCATTAAGCTCCGTAGTCTTTGCTTCCAAACTACTATACCTTGCATTTCGCGTGCCTCTACTTTTCTTCTGTTCGGCATTCAATTGTCGATGTGCAATGTTCAACTCGGTGAGTGCTTCTTGAGCGGCATCACACAGCGAACTTACGATTGCGTGTGTTATTGTAGTTGCTGTGTGGCGGAATGGGCGGAATACCGAACTGGCAATCGTTGAATAATAAAAAGCATTATCATTACAAAAAGAGCGTTTATTAGTCAAAGTTAAGATAATAATAACGACAGTAGTGATCATGATGATCACAATTATCGAAATAGTGCAAATAAATACCTCGACATAGCAATCACCCAAGATGCAACAGTTTCAAAGAATACCTCATCATATAGTATCGAGTGTTTGATTTGTTTTATTAAACGATGAAAGAATTCCAGCAAGTTTTTTCGAAACTTTTTAAAGTCTTTTGATTTTGATACGAGAGGATAATCGGATATTGATTCCTAAAGAAATATTGTTATTATAGTACGATATATGAATTGAAGACGGTAAGATAGAAATCAAGTCATTTAATCGATTATATTATAGAGCTTAATTCATCAATCACACCGAAGCAATTTTTAAAGAATAAATCGGATGAAAATTTGCACATACCTTCTCATATGCATCTTGCAATGCTTTCAGATTATCAACAATGTGATCCTCGTCTTCAAAAGAGTCAGCGTTTATCGACTCTGGACAACCAGCCGACTAAAAAATAGCACGAGTATAACAAAATATTAATAGAAACCTCATTTAGTACATGAAATATTTCATTAAATTTATGCACAAGATATATATAATAAATCAATAACCTTTATTATGAAATTCACGAGTACAAGCAACGCCGTCTGTTTATTCGTTTCATATGTTTCAACCCAGTCAGAAGTTATAGTTTCTAATGCACTATTCGGGTCACGTATAGCCTCTACAAACACAATAACCAAGTTATAAAGTATCCAACACAACAAATTAAAAGTAAAACACGCCAAAACAGAGGGAGTTTAGAAATTTCCGAGGGTATTTACCAAACAACGTTTGGCCACTTTCTTCAAGGTCAAGCCGAGAGGTATCAGGGTTCGACGAGGAAGAATCTGGCGTGCGTTGTTGCGCTTTTGGCGACAACGGCTCGGCTGGGGGTGAAGGTGACTGTGATATTTTACGCGGTCGGCCGCGTTTTTTTGATGATTTAGCTGGAGTTGACGAGGTAGATGCATCCATTGCGTTAACTTTTTGGTTCTTGTGTGGATTCGCAAAACTTTGCGACTGTCCTACGAACACGAGACGTCATCAATAGTTTATCCAATCATGTTCGTTTCTGTTAACGTTAATATATTTTCTAAGCAACAACACAAAGTACCCTAGTCATGTGTGGGTCACGTGATGATAAACCAATCCAACCAATAAGAACGCGTAAAAATTCTGCGCAACCAATAGGAATGTAGCAAATTTTTGATCAACCCAGAAAATGAGAAAAGACAAAAAATGCGAAAAAACATCTAGCTTGACACACATCAAAAAATGTCGGAAAGCCAATTTATATTTAATCTGATCTCAAATCCAACCCTAACCCTAATACTTGATATCTAATATTAATCGGATATTTTAATGGAGCCATGGCTAGACTACTAACTAAACAACACAATATGTAACAATAAAGTCACGTGTTTTATGTAATATAATAACGAGTTTCCAAAAAATTAATCTTTTTTATCAATATCATTCCAAAGCGCCATCATCGCATCACTAGTCCCAATAGCTGATCCCAAAACCGCATAAATAAGTATAAACACAACCCACAACTTCTCGCCAACCCCGTGCAAACGATCCCAGCCGAACAACTTTATCCAAATCACCACCGGCATCACTACCAACAATACTCCGTTTCCCAATGCACCAAGTAATGCCATCACATCAGCGAAATACGGGGCGAAGACCGCAAAACACACGACTATCGTCATTAGGGAGGTGCGTAATAATATACGATACAGGTATTCGCGGAGTCTTCCGACTTTTGCGACGGTGATGCCCAAGTGTTCTTCGATATTCAGGCAAACGGAGATCATGTAGATGGGGAGGGCGAGTAGAACGTGTGCGGTTATCATTGTTATTGAGATGGTGACTGCCCAACCAGCTGGTAGGCTTAAATAGACTGGCGAGCTGGTTTGGTCGCCGTAGGTTAGGTATGCGGGAATTCCGATCAGAAAGTACATTGAGGTCAATAAAGAGATTGCGAGACAATTAACTTTTGGCCATGCCGATGGGGTTTTCATACTATAATGTACATACATACAATAACTGTTGTTAGATAATACTGATGACACTAGTATAATAATTAAAACTACAATTACCCTGCTTCTATATTAGGAAATATCACGTTTCCACCATATGCAAAATTTAATGTTCCCAATGCAATAGGAATCTTCCGAAAATTAATAATATCGTGACTACTATTTGGGTGATTCGGATAATCTACAACAGACGAATAACTCACAACTACAGCTACAAGAGAAGTAGTCAAAGCACCAAATAAACTATTGTAAAATAACCAACCATTCACAAAGGAAAAAATATAATTAGACCCGAAAAACAATCACTCATTACAACAACAACAACACTACCACCTTAACCACACAGCCTCTTTGATAGTTTTCGATAACACAAAAGGAACACCCATCACTGCCGCACAAATATACACCCAATCCTCCATTCTTAGATCGACACTATTCTGTAACAACCCATGAAGATTTTGCCCGGCTAGAATCAAGAACAGAACCACCGTTCCGAACGAGACAGAATTGTAGAAAAAGCCGATGACTAATAAGCCTGATTTTCCAAACGCGTCGAATGCCAGCTGTGGCATTGATAGTTTACGAGTTTTTCTGGTTTATGAATTAAAATATTTTATATTTGTCAACTATAGCTCAAATAAAAGAAATAGTAAAGAGATTAAGTTACTTACCCATCATGATATAAGCTTTCTATTAGTTTGTTATTTGAATAGACAGACATCACAGCCGAAAGCGTTAGTATTGCTAACAAGCTCCATCCTCCTTGTGATAATGCGTGCGGAACACCTAGGATGCCAGACCCGGCTGTTGCGCAACTGCAAAACGACCAACATGCCACAGAACGAATTGGTTAATTAATGAGCAAAAAAAGTAATCGAATTCAGACTAATCATTGTGAGCATTATTCAATAACAGGATCCAACGATCAAAAAGAACAAATCAATTCAATTTCTTTAAATCAATAGTATGTGCGATTCGATCAATAATTAATATATTTGATTTTCGCTGTTATATGTAATAGAAGTAGTGGAGTAAGAGGAATGTGGCAAACTTACATGAGATGCACGAATGCATTCCAATTCGACCCTTTTTCCTCGGGTATGAGAGATTGTTCCGCCGAGATATATGGTGTTGTTTCCTCGATAATAACATCACTGTTTGGAGACGCTAATAAATAATAAACATAAATTAATAACAATGAACAATAATAATAAATTTAACTTTTCTTAAAAAAAACTATCTAAAGTTCTCTTTACGATAGATATTAATAACCACCTGTAGGCACAGCACCATAATTTGGCCAATCTGACGGCTTTTTAACAGTATTATTAGAATTTATACTAGACATGCCTTTTTTACAAGACTTCTCAATTTCGGTAAATTGTATGTTTTAATAAATTAGACCTTTCTTACACCATAAATAGTCTCGCACCATATCTGAATAATATCAAACAGGAAATATAACGACAAATGATAAACAAAAAGGTCAAATTGATCATCAATGATGGTGTATTTGTTGTATCTCAATCACAGTCCAAATTAAGAGAAATATTAAAGCAAAATAGTGAATTACAGACAAACCTCCCTAAATGCACCCCCCTGGGACCATAGTAAAGCGTGCATTTAGAGAGGGTGTGCATTTATAGAGGGCAAAATATATAGAGCTCTTATGAGCTGGGACCCAGCCATGCATTTAGAGAGTGTGTGCACTTATAGAGGGTGCATTTAGGGAGGTTTGTCTGTAATTTTATAGTTATCCGGATTGACTTAATATACATGATCTATATCTGTAGATTGGCTGAATTCTGCATAACATCATTGTTATCAAAACTAGTAACAAAGTGAAGATTATGCACCAATCAAATCGCAAGATCAATGTGCAACGCGAAAATTCAAAAACAAATGCTTATTTTTGAAAAATAGCTTGTAAAATTTTTGCCTATGAAACTATTGTTTGTGCTTTAATCGAAATTTTATTCAATATTATGCATTATAATATAAGTGATAGATCGGATGGTCGGTATCGGGATCGGAATCACATGATCTGCCATTTTTCTCGATCTTCACTTTGTTAACAAATATCTTTTGTTTTATGATTTGGTCCAGACTGGAATCATCACCAATAAAAAGAAGTGCCAAATACTTACTAACAATATTACTGATATGAAATCAAATTGAAAATTGACTGTAATTTAAAGAAATTTGCAATATTAACAAAATGAAATGATGATCAAATTCACTTCTAATAACTAATAACTTATGTAATTGGTTTCCAGTTTGATTTTGTACTAATTTTCTGAATGTAAGTATTTGATATTTTTATTAATAAATATCTAGTTTCTTTATTTTATTGATGTTACCATAAATTTTGATTGATTTCCAATTTGGTTTTGCATTAATTATACCTTTGTGATTTATAATTTTATAATTTATATTATTATTATATCTAATTTTTATATATAATAACATTTAGAAATAGTTAATTGTAACTGTGTTCATGACAAATTTTAAATAAATAATAATAATGGTTGATTGTTAATGAGAAATTAACAAAAATATAAGTATAAAATATATTAAATATATTTGAGTAATAATAAAATATTATTGAAACTAAATATATGCTATAAATTAAAGTTAAAAATATATTATAAAAGACAAAAAATAATATAATGACAAATAAAAACAAATAAAGATAAAACAAAAAAAAATAAGAAAAATCAAAAAATAAAATAAATAAATAAATATAAAACAAATAAGAAAAACAAGAAAAGACAAAATGAAAATTAAAATTAAAATATAATTTTCTTAATTTATTTTAAGTCAATCTCATATTATAGATATAACAAAATTTTGTTATGCTAATTTACAAAGAGAAATTAATAAAAAATATAAATATAAATATACTGATATATAATGATTATTATATAATATTAGAATAAAGTTTGCGTTGTTACAATTTAATTTTTAGAGCTTTTTTTGTTATTTATTATTTCATATGATCTCGAAATTCATATATAATAAATGTATTTTCTTTTATTATCAAAGTAAATCATTACTATTAATTTCTATTATTTACTTTAGTATAAGAACAGTTCTAAAGCAATATAGTACTGATATTTTTCAGCAATTTGGTTGAATATTCAATATAGTATACAATAAATACTATTATTATATTATTATTATTATTTAATTAAATTTTGTATATTAATAATAAGACAATTAAGTAATAGATTTTTATTAAAGATATTTTATTTAAACTATTAGTTGGACTAATTGTTACAATTTTATTGTGTTGAATCTAATTGATTACAACTTGTTTTTTTATAGCTACAAGATTAATTATATTTATATTTAATATTTTATGATTAAGTTATTATAATATTATACAAATAAGATAATTATAATATATTTAATTTTATAATATTGATAAATAAGTTGAATATGTCAGTGAAATTACACATTATAATCTTTAAAGATTATAGCATAACTTTCATTTACTTTAAATTATAATATTACATTATAATTTGAATATCACACTATGATTTAAATATCATGATATAATCTAAATATTACACTATAATTTAAATATCACACTACAATCTAAAAAACTATAATCTGATTATCACATTATAATTTAAAAAAATAATCTGATTACCATATTATAATTTATTTGCTTTCTTTTTTGGAATATTTCTTTTTATTCTAAATACTTCTTTAGATTTTTCTTGCTATCTATATTTTTATATTAATATATTTTTATTATCATATTATAATTTAATTACCATTCACACTTTAATCTAAATATCATGCTTTTTCTCTTGTTTCTGAGTCATTTACATAATAAATTCTATAATGGAAACATTAATCTTCTGTAATTGCTTGAATTCCTGGTTTTATATTAAAGTTATTAACTTCTCTATATCTGTTTGAGTCTGAATTCTATATTGAGGTGCTTACCTTTTTGCACCTATTTGGTTACCTTTCTAGATACCGAAGAAAAGGTGACGGGTGGCGCAGTAAATTTGTGATTAATTTCGACTAATACTATGCCATAATTCTGATCGATCTTTTAAGTATATGATTTGGGATCCAAGTTGGCGCCATGATAGTAATCTGGTAGTGCCTGGAACTCTTCTGGAACTGTTATGGAACTGGCAGAGAACCAGAGTGTTTCTATTAGTTCGCCAGTTTCAGACCACTTATATGCCAACTTGGAATAGTGTTGGCCGAAATTAAACGAAATTTTACTGCGTCATCTTGCAACTCTATTTGTTACCGGTATAAGTATGATGATTTCGCGTCCCAAAGTTCGAAACATTTAAGCGCATTTATATTGTATTTCTGGCATGTTTCCAGCCATATTTGAGCCAAAGGAAACATGCCACTTACCCGAATTCATACTAGTGATAGGGTAGCCAAGTGCCAATATTTTCAAAGAAACCTTCATATCATACCCAGGTACATATCTAGGAAGAATAAGTCTTATGCGAAGGCTATACCATACCCGAGTACATATCTAGAAAAGTATAAGTTTTCTGCCAATATTTTTATATAATGATTACGCAGAAGACTTATCTTCTGGATACATATCTGCTTTTTTTCCTTTTACGATCTGCTTACTGGCTTGCTATACGTCTCTTTTTTCGAAGGACGAAAAAATTAATTAAACATTTCGAAAGTATATTGGAGTATATAAAGTTTTACCTACTGACGTCATGCATACCTTGACTATTTCTGATCAAACTGATCGCACTGGTCCTCGCCCGCTACGACAGCGCCAACTCCTTAGCTGGTATCCCATCACGTAATGAGATCGTAGCAAAATATGATAACGGAATGACTGCTATATTTCAGCAATGCTTATCTAATAAGCAACCCGTACACTTTATGCATACCGCTGTAAGTGATGAGGCTGAATATATTAATGGAGTATCCACCTATATTTTGCGTGTTAGTGGTTGCTTGATTAATGGGCAAAAGGCTATCATGAATATTATGAGCATTAAGCCTTTCTTTGATGTCATAGTACCTGAAGAGATACCACTATCTATGTTTAAGACCAAATTAGTGAAGATAATATCTAATATTCTTGGAAGCGCATCGAAGTTTGGGATCGAAACTATTAGCACTTTTCCACTTCGAGGATATTATATAGAGAAGAAGTTATATATCCGTATAAGGACATGGAATCATTTTGATCAGTATAATGCGTTAAAGACAGTTCGTGAAGTTGGTATTAGCACTGCTTTCGATGGCTTAAATCCTACGTACTATTATCGTAAAGTAGCCCGTGAAGAAAGATTACCTCTTTCAAGCTGGGCGCTATTGAGTAATTATTCATACATACTGTCAGAAAATAATTATCTCTTCCAGGTATCTGTAAACAATTACAACCCAATAAATGATGACGAGTATAACAATCCGTTAATTTCTTCAGCACTTTCAAGGGATCGAACTCTCGTACTCACATGGGATATAGAAGCATATAGCTCACGAAAAATAGGTGAGATGCCTAATGCTAAATACGAAGAAGACGTTGTATTCATGATTTGTATGACTGTTCATTGAAAGGATGATCCTGAACCGTTAAAGCAAATCTGTCTTGTTAATATTAAAATTGCAATGGATTACAGTTGTATGTGG